GGCATTCAGAGGGTGGATGACTCTGTATATTGCCTCCTCTGCATGAGTCAGTCGGCTCCTTCGAGATGAACTGAGCCTGGAAAGCGGACGAGATCCGGCGCCAGCAGCAGGAGGCGGTGACATAAAGCGGCAGTCAGTCGGAGGGTTTCCAGCAGGAAGTCACAGAAATGTTAGATCATCTGTTGGCTGCCTGTGTTCAGATATATAAATTATTATTATTATCAACCACTCAAGATGAACAGATTCAACCTTCACTGGAGAACATGAGACACCAAACAGCTTCAGTTTGGAGTTAAATCTCTCTGAAAATCTGGTTTTATCAGGTCCAATCAGAGTCACAGGAGGCCTGTAGTGCCTCACCTGGGCCACCCGGGTCAACAGAGTCTGGACTCGCTCCTGTCTCCACACAGATGGAGCCACTTTCCCTCCTCCTGCTGAAAGTGGCTCCAGTCTGCTGCACCACCAATAATGTTAATTTAAAACAAAATTAAATTTAATTATAATCCTGTAATACACTCTCAGCTATGCACTCATCGTCTTTTATGTATTTTTTATTGTCTCTTCCTCTCTGGAAACAAAGGCCACCTACGAGCTGCAGAAGGTGCTAATGATCGTCCTCTGTGACACCTCCGTCGACTAATAAGCGCCTCAGTTATTCGTCTGTGTTTACAGGCGTTTTATGTGTTGGATTATATATTTACTTGTGGATCTTTTTACACCACCTCGTGCGGCGAATGTGGTGATAATTGAACGATTGGTTGCGTGGAGGCGTCCTTAAAAGCACCACGTTAATGTAAGCTGTTGGTTGTTACTGTAACACATTGATCCCTCAGGTTATTTTTACTCTGAATCACACATTCGTTAATCAGCATCACTAATATGATTGCATTAACAGAAGACGGGTAATATATATATATATATATATATATATTTATGTACATGAACAGTATGTGCACACAAAAACTGCTCATACCAGGGGTACAATATAAAGTTAAAACAACAACACAAGGGACGTCCTGGTAGCTCACCTTTCTGTCTTCAGCTGTCTCTATCAATTAAAGGCAATCATTTATTGTGTGTGAACAAAAAGACACTGAATTAAAACACAAACGGAGGAAACACTGGAGGCAGATGTACAAATATGTAAACAAAGTAATAAAACAGATTAAGTTGTATACATATATACACAAAGTAAAGGGTTAAAATAGGCAATTAAAAGGCAGACTAAAAGTCCAAACCTTCAAAACAAATATAACGTTATTTAATGTAACTATCCAAAACTTTTATTTTTCTTTATTGTTGTTGTCCCTTTATCGCTTGAAACTTGTATGACCCTGGAAGACATTTTTACAAAATACAAAAACATGTAGGCATTGATGACTACAGAGCTATCAAACATGTATTAATTATTTTGTTTTGTTTTGTTTTATTTTATTTTTAGTTAAGTTTAGTTTAGGTTAGTTAAGTTTATTTATTTTCGTTTCGTTTTGCTATTTTATTTTATTTTAGTTTAGTTTTTTTATGTTATTTTATTTTTGTTTATTTTATTTGTTTATTTTATTTTATTTAAGTTTAGTTTAGTTTATTTTTGTTTTGTTGTTTTTTTATTTTATTTTAGTTTAGTTTAGTTTAGTTAAGTCTATTTATTTTCGTTTCGTTTTGCTATTTTATTTTATTTTTGTTTATTTTAATTTATTTTATTTAAGTTTATTTTATTTTATTTTATTTTTGTTTGGTTATTTTATTTTTTTTATTATTTTATCTTATTTTATTTATTTATGTATTTATTTATGTAACTATGTATGTATGTATTTATTTATTGCTCTTCACTCCAGTCCAGCAGGTGGCGGTGACGCATCTACAACCTTTAAAACCCCGACGAAGACGAAAAAACGCGCCGTCTCCTTATGACGTCTTATTAAGCGGACACAACTTGCATCAACAAAATAAACCAAACGATGAAACAAACTAATAAAAACTAATAAACCCGGATAAACCCGGATAAACCCGGAGGCCTGAGTGCAGCGCCAGTGCGAGCCGTCGCTGTTTGAATCCATCAGGAGGAGAGAAACATGGCGAGTGTCCACGAGAGTTTGTACTTCAACCCGATGATGACCAACGGGGTCGTCCACGCCAACGTGTTCGGAACCAAGGACTGGGTCAGCCCCTACAAGATCTCCGTCATGGCCCTGCTGTGTGAAATGACCGCGTCCAAGATCTCTCTGCCGGAGAGGAGGAGGCTCAACAAGCTCATCTTACCGCTGCAGCAGGTTCACTCACTGTTTACTCACTGTTCACTCTCTGTTCACTCACTGTTCACTCACTGTTCACTCTCACTGTTCTACTCACTGTTACTCCACTGTTCCTCATTCTGTTTACTCACTGTTCACTCTCAACTGTTCACTCTCTGTTCACTCTCTTGTTCACTCTCTGTTCACTCACTCCTTTACTCCTCTGTTGTCACTCTCTGTGTCACTCACTGTTCACTCACTGTTTCTCTCGGTTCACTCTCTGTTCACTCTCTGTTTCACTCTCTGTTCACTCACTGTTTAACTCACTGTTCACTCTCACTGTTCACTCTCTGATTCACGTCTCTGTTCACTCTCTTTCACTCTCCTGTCACTCCACTCTTTATCTCTGTTCACCTCCTGTTCACTCACGTGGTTCACTCACGTTTACTCACTGTTCCAAACTCTCAACTGTTCACTCTCTGTTCACTTCTGTTTACTCTCTGTTCATCTCTGTTCACTCTCTGTCACTCACTCTTTACTCTCTGTCACCTCTTCTGTCACTCAACTTGTTCACTCAACTGTTTACTCACTGTTCACTCACTGTTTACTCACTGTTCACTCCGTCACTTCACTCTCTGTTCACTCTCTGTTTACTCCTCTGTTCACTCTCTGTTCACTCCTGTTTCACTCTCTGTCTTTACTCTCTGTTACCTCTCTGTTCACTCTCTGTTCACTCACTCTTTATCCTCTGTTCACTCTCTGTTCACTCTCTGTTCACTCAACTCTTTCTCACTGTTCACTCTCTGTTCACTCACTGTTCACTCTCTGTTCACTCACTGTTCACCTCCTGTTCACTCACTGTTCACTCCACTGTTTACTCACTGTTCACTCTCACTGTTCACTCTCTGTTCACCTCACTGTTTCACTCACTGTTCACCTCGCCCCTGTTTACTCCACTGTCATCACTGTTTACTGCACTGTTCACTCTCACTGTTCACTCACTGTTCATCACTGTTCACTCCTCTGTTCACTCACGTTCACTCACTTGTTTTCACTCACTGTTCACTCTCTGTTCACTCACCTGTTCCACTCCACTTTCACTCCTCAGTTTAACTCTCCACTCTTTACTCACTGTCCTCTCTGTTTTCACTCACGTTCACTCTCTGTTCACTCCTGTTTCACTCAAATGTTCACTCTCTGTCACTCTCTGTTCACGTCACTGTCACTCTCACTGTTCACTCTCGTTACTCTCTGTTTACTCCTCTGTTCACTCTCTGTTTACTCACCTGTTCACTCTTGTTCACTCTCTGTTCATCTCACTGTTCATCTCTCACTGTTTAACTCCTCACTCT